CACGTAGCTGTTGCAACTGGTCACGTGTTTCCGAGGGTTCCGTCATCCCTCAAACTCAGGCGAAAATCTGGTTGTGAGCTCGAGTAACAGAGATCTCTACCGCGACCCTTCATCATCGAAATCTTGGTTTTCCAGAAAATGGGGGACCGCCGTCCCTCAAAACGACGCTTGGACCGCCTGCCATCCCTCGAAATCCGGAGAATGAGAATTTTCGCCTTTCCATCGTACTGGTTTCCAGTCATATTTTATTACTCAACGACAACGAGCTTGTCGCTTGCCGTTGGATGGCATTCAGACGAAAAAAAAAACCATTAAAATTTTAATGGCTTTTTTTTGTCTGAATGCTATCCCGGCCAATCAAATCTCTCGAAATATTTTTGTCCATTCCCATTAAAGTTGTGTGGGAGACCGTTTCTGTACAAACAATAATTGTTCAAAATAATGGCAAAAATTAAAACAATGAATTGTCCATTATTGCTCTTTGTAAGAAGTTACTTTTTTTAGTAATAATAAAAAACTTAATGTTTTTATTGCAACATAATAAATAACTTGGTTCTGTATGCTTTTCTAGACTGAACCGATACCGATATGGTACGCTCGCAAACCTACTAGACGTGAGTGGCAAAAAACAACTTTTATGAAAAAGCTGTTCTGACGATGGAATTGTTCATTCAGAGTAGAAACCAAACTCGTTTTTTCTCCAGTATGGAAACGTATGACCGCTCCAGCGAATATAATATTTGACATCATGATGTAATAGCGGAGTGAGAATACTAGATTTTACATGTACTGTGCTACAAATGCTATCTTAGCTGAACTGTTACTTGTGTTAGTGGTCGGGTAAAAAATGTCATCACGCGTAGGTATTCTAATACGATCAGGTATTGTGAATTCTGAGTATATTTGGAAATCTTGATCGATTCGTGTCATCAGCGTCCAAATCAACAGAGCGCTCTGATTGGTCAATTAGGATTGCAGTTCAACGCGGATCTTCGCCTGCACTGCTGGATTGCAGCATCTTTCCTTGCAGCCCTGGATCTCCAAGGACATACGTACACTTGGTACTATTGTCAATCTTGTGTTATTGATGCTGGTAGAAACGTCAACGATTTGCTAAACCACATTTTGTTACTGTTTAGCAAGATGGAGGCAGCAGCTACTCGGCAACACGCCAGTCCCAACACAATTCTCCACTGTTTATACGGTTATTACTATCTTGGGTATTCCAGGAAAGAACTGGCGCACATTTACAAAAAAAAAAACACAGCAGACAATGACCCAGCGATAGATGTGTTCACAACGTCGAGAGCACTTTGTGTCGAGTGGTGAAGATCATTGACGTATTCTTGGACACGAGAATCAGTAGCCGCTAAGAGTCGCAAAACACTTGAAGGTGGCGGAGCACGTATCTTATCGTCCAATGTGGAGCGATCCTGACTGCGAACCACCTCAGTAGCCCACATACGCCACACCACAGCTTCACCTGTGTATGTGGCGCCCCAAAGATCCTGTAGGCGCCCCACAACCTCGCGAAGCGTGACTTCAGCAGCCTTCCAAAACGCTTGGCGATCTTGTTTTCTCCCGAGGCTGACGCCATAATCATAGATAAGAAGCATGGCAGTCTTGTCATGCATTGATTGAAGCCAAGTGTTCCGGTCCTCGTTGGGTTTTGAGCTGTCGACGATGTGCTTCTTCACCATGAACACCATGAACTTGGACCAAGAGTCAATTGCAGCTTGCTCGACAGCCCAAACTACATCGGACTTCACTGCCCTCCCTTTAACCTTAGTTCGCCTGACAAAAATCCCACCGGTAGGACACCCAAAAGTCCTACCGGTAGGACAACGTCAAGAGTGATGGTTTCATCCAATTTTCAAGTGATATGTGTTCTGTGCTATCTT